GTGGCAGCAACAGTTAGAATCCAAGGAGCAATATTCACAGCTGTTCTAGAATTAGGACCCTCATTCCCTCCAGAGCACACCACAATGATGCCCTTCTCTACTGCATGAAATGCTCCAATGGCAATAGGATCTACTGAAAATTCTTGTTCCATTCCATCTGATGCACCGAGAGATAATGATAACACATCAACCCCGTCAGCAATGGCATCATCAAATCCTTTTAAGATGGCCGAGCCTTGACATCCATTCAGGCTACAAACACGGTACATAGCGATTCTTGATCCTGGTGAGCCACCCTTTGCAGTCCCTTCAGCTAGACCATAATATGATGCCCCTTTAACTGGGATGCCTGCCGCAGTAGACGCAACATGAGTACCGTGACCATTCTTGTCTCTAGGCGTGCCAGATGCCCCTGCGTTGCTGGATCCAGGTTCATCGTAATACCTTGCCCCGATCAGTTTCCTGGTTGGAAAAAAAAAATAAATAAATAAAAAAAATCAACAGCTAAATCTTTAGACATTTCACCATCTAGTTCGTATGAGTGAGCTCCGATAGAACAAGTTAAAAGAGGAGGGTCGTTGGTGAGATCTCATTGTTTTGTATCTTACAAGAAAAGAGGGGAATGGCGAAGAAGGATTTATGTATCCGACTCCAAATTACTGCAAATAGGGCCTAGTTTGTTGTTTTTTCTTAACATTATAGCCCCTGGAACCCCTCCACGGCTTGGTTTAAGTATATTATGTTATACCGATAGTTTATTGACAGACCTAGTGGTGCCTGTGAGCCGCGGCCAGAGCTATAATAGTTAATGAAATTAATTGCTAAGTAATAAGTTCAGCCCCGATGAAAGAAATGAGATCACTGCTTATGGACTCGTTCAGTAAGATTATGATGTAGAAAACTCATGTATACCGAACAAAGGTTCACTTTCTGCTGATTATGAAGTTATTTGCAAAGAAGAAAAGAAAATTGATTTATTTTTGGAACTTTTACCTGTTGCAGCTCAAGGTAGTGAAATCATGGCCTTCCATACATGTGCCTTTCCACTGTGATGGAATTGGACCCATATCCTCATCACTGAAACTCTCAGATTCAGGCCAAATTCCTGAAGTAAAATTTGAAGTGTTAACAGTCCTCAAAGCACTTGGAGAGTGCACAACAATTCCATGAAAATGTTTAATTTTAAGCACTATATTAAAAACAAGATTGAAAATTTAGTTGAACCTGTATCCAAGATGCCAATAATAGTGTCTGTTCCATTTGATATTGAGCCGGAAGTCGAGCTAGGATTGGAATTAACCTCTACAGCAGTTTGGTCCTTCAAGAAATCCCATGAATGTGTCGTGTGAAGTTGTAAAACTGGATCGGGAAAAACAGACACAACTCCAGCTGTTTGAGCTATTGATTTAGCCTCATCCTCTGATAAATAAGCCGCGAACCCTAAGAAACCGTTGCTGTAGCTGTGTATCACTGCATTCTTCTTCCTGCGGGAATTCACCATCCAACAAATCATATAGTAGGAATATGATATGCAGGAAAGAGATGCGCCTGTTTTATGCATGGGACTTGGAACGAATATTTGTCTTTGTTTTTCAATCAGAGTTCCAAGATTAGGTATAGACCTGTCCTTGTAACCTTAGGCATCATAGTATTAGGACAGTATCCCTAAGCAACATCAGACTGAAAAGTAAAGCAATTATTTCATGTGGAGCACATGTTTTTGTATTCCAGTTATATGAAGATTTTAAGATTGTTAAAAACAAAAATCTTGACAATTACAGGACCGTGGCCAATTTCCGTAAAATGCAATATGGGCATTCGCTTATGATGCGTATGAGAGTAACCTTTCCATCAAGGAGCTGAGAAGCTGATCATAATCATTTCTTGGATCACTCTTTGATGAAACTGAGGCTCCCATGTACACAATATAAATTCCATTACTTCGTAGTTGAGCCGACTCTGTTTCTCTTTGAAACAAGACAAGAAAAATAGACAAGTAGAAGGAAATAAAAAACCCTTTCATGATTCTGTTATATTCCTATAGAGACAAATAGCTTAATCCACATCCATGTTCTGAAGCTTCTTATATAGAGGGGAACATTAGTGAAAAAAAATTGATCAAGTTAGGTCTGAAAGTAAGCAATAGATATTGGTGGTCTAATCCTATGTTAATGGATTCATGCGTGTGTCCATTGTATGTACATTTGAATATCAGTTGGTGTCCCTATATCCACACAAAGTGCATTATTTATTGATGCGTCATGGCTGTCATTGATGGTGGTGGTGGTGGTGGTGGTGGTGGGTCATCTATGATGTACAAACACTTCTATTAAGGTAACGCGTCTGTATCTGACACTCTTTGAACGCTCAAGGTCATGTATCTAACAAGTCATATGCCAATGCTCCATTTTTTGTATATGTTTTAAATTATCGACACTCGAGGAATACTCATCGTTTGTGTCCATATCCCATGTTGTGTTGTGTTGGGTCCATGTCCCGTGTCCTGTCTTCTTGCAACTTATTGGGTGGTGGCCACAGACTTTTTAGTTTTGTGTTGCTTTTGGATTCTTGAATGCATTGAAAGCGTTTGGTTAAGGACGTACTAAGGCAAGGAATTAACTGAATAGTCCATGCCATGTAAGTGGCATGTGGGAAGTTTTCCAACTTGAAGGGACCCGGCTTTGATTATTTTCCATGTGATGCATTTGAGTATTTCAGCTTTTCTTGGACGTGGGGGTTAGAGAGGGGTCTGTGGGGGTCTCTCACTTTAAGTTTTTTTTGACTCTTTAACAGATGCATAAAACGAGGATGGCCTCCTAAGTTTCGACTTAGTTGCTTAGACACACAAGACCAATTTTCAATAGTATTGAATGAAGATGATGTACAAAAACGCTGGTTGTGTTGACGTAAGACAAGGCCTTGACACAGTAGAAGAGTTGGTCTTAATCGGGCATGTGATCTTTCGTGATTATTTAATTGAGGAGCATAGATGGATAAGTTATTACTCGATGGGCATTAGAAGATGTGATGATTTGCTATGAGAAAATGCGAACATAAATCCATATAGTCAATATGTGATGAATGATGAGGGATGAAGCACTCTATCAAACAGACATGAATTAGTGCAATTATCTAATAATATATTCATATGTAAAACACGTGTATGTAACACAACGTGCATTTCTTCGTAGTGCGACATGATTGAAATTGACAATGAGAATCAAAATCAATTTTCATGATGACTAAAAATAAGGAATCAAAATTGCATCTATAAGTATTGGACACATTATGCTCCCAATATCGTAGAAATAGTGCGCCACTAATTTTATCTATTACCAGAAGGGTTTGTCAAGATTGCCCACCTTCTGAATGCCCACTTTGAACCATTTTTGTCAAAACTTTATGTTATCAAAATATTACTTTTAGGCGATCTATATTTGAAATCTTCTACCTTAATGGTAATGAACATTATTAAATTCTGCAGGTAAATCAAACCAATTTGTGAGAAAGAATGCAATTAGATCATGTCGGATCATGTAAAACTTCACATACATTAATTGCTCACGTATCCTTATCAACAATGGTCGAACCATCACCACTTAGACGGTTCAGATTTTGAAAGGGCACTCCAAAACCCGGAGGATGTCGTCTTGAACTCCAATTTACCAATCTGGGCAGCGGTGTCACTTTATAGAAGGGGTCATAAATACTCAACTAGAACGACTGTTTACCAAAAACACATATTTCTACAAATAGAATGGAGGACGTGCAGGTGTTTCTCGTAGATCCAAGCTTGGATTTGGCAGGAATTCAAGGTTCCGATGACTTCTTGCTAAGAGGTTAAGGTCCTGATATAACATAAATTGCAAAAGCTATCGACAATTGAACAGTAAATCTCTTGTTGGGATTAAAATCAAATTTTTAATAGATTTTGATAAAAGTTAATGAAATGTTTTATTAAAAAATTGTGAATTCCATAAAATATAGGGTTAAAATTAATTGTTGATTTTGACCAAACAAGGACTTTAACAAAATGCTTCTTGTAGTTGTGTCTCAAATCTTGACCGAGGTACAAAACCAGGTTAAGACAGCAGGAGATGTCTTATTGTTTGTACCTTACAAGTTACTTGAGTCTTGGCATGACACGGGAATGTCACGGCACAAAGTGGGAAAATGAGATAAGACTTATGGAGATAAATATGCAATTCTACCTGGAGAATGTCGTTTATGAGGCCCGCAAGAAATTGAGGATCAAGATTAATCCTAACCATTGATGCCAACTTGCATACTTTGAGTTTGCCTATTAATAGAGGGACTTGGTCACTTGTCACGGGCCTAGTTTCGTTACACACGAACTACGCTAGAATCGTTTGGCCTTAACAATTCAATAACAGATTTTTTCAAACATCTCAAGCACAAGACCATTTTCAATTATCGATGAGTACGAAAGAAAGCAAGAAAACTAAGGGGTTGTTCTCTTCGTGTTTCAATTTTGTAGTTTTGAGTTTTGTGTTTTGAGTAGCTGTTTTGAAATTGTTGAAAATTCGTTCTTTTTGTCATTCTATAAAATAATTTTTGAAAATATAAAACTGGAAAACACATTTACTTTGAAACTTTGAGAATATTTTATTCTAAAAATCTTATTATTCAATAAATTTTAATATTTTAATGTTAATATAGTATTAAATAACATATAAATTTTTAAAGTTGGTGAAAAATGATTTGAGTGTTGATGAAATTATTAAATAACCCATTTTTAACCATACATTTTTTAATAAAGTGTTGATGAAAAATGATTTGAATGTTTATAAATATGAGCCAAATATAGCCTTTGACGTTTTTAAAACCAATTTCATTTGTAATTATTTTTCATTTTCACCACTAACATAAGTCGAAATTCAATAACATGAAACATGTTCGTGGTTAGTAAAACTTGTCTTGATTGAAACCTTGGGCGTACAAATTATTTCAAAAAACTATAGTCTTTTTGAGGCAAATAATACATTTGTATGTACAAATGTGAAACAATCCCTTCTATATTGAATTGCTCACCCGTAATGTATGTAATCAATCAAGCATCATATCAAAAAAATTAACATTTGTTTCTTTTTATGCTTCAAATCATAAAGTTACATATCCTTTTGTATCTTATCTGATCCTTGAAATCATCAATTGAATGAGGGAGTGTAAGAATCTCATATATACGTCTCAAAGGAGAGTTTGACATTTCACTGCATCAGAAGCAACATGTTACAATGCCCAAAGATTATTCATGGGTACAACTCAAGGAAAATGAAGAAGGTACTACCAACACATTCTCCAAATATTCACTATGGTCAAAGATTATTCAGGAAAAGGAAGAAGGCACTACCAACACATTTGAACAACACATTCTTCAGAATTTCACTATTCAAAACAATGTTTTTCCCAAAGAAAGGGTGACCAAATAGGTGAAAACTGTATTCATATTGTTTTTTGTTCCATAATCCCCTATAATGTTCAAAACCTATTGAACTCTAATATCAAAACAGCAGGTGCTATCAAGCATTTCTTTCTCCTTCCTCAAACTTTGGAAGAATTGTAGAAAAACACTGTTTCGTTACAGTTAAAATTACTTTTAATCCAGAAAATTTTTGAAGTAGCTCGAAGGTAACAATTCTTTTTAAGTTTATACATTTTATAATAGTAGTAAACCAATTACAAAGGATTTCAATAGATAGTCAGGATTGTCCAATTCGACCTCTGTAATTAAAGGAAATACATACCCTGAACAATGTATTTGCTCCCCAAATAACAAATGTTTCACTATAGGTCGGATCTACCCCAAATGAACTGAAGCACAGAAGCTTGCTCCTCTTGTAATGTGACAATTCACTTTGGTGAAAATCACTAGAAAACAGAGATGCTTAAGAACATAGAAAACTTTAGTTGCAAGATATAATAATTAAATAAAAATCACATATATCGTTTAAAAGGGTGACAAATGCCCATAATCCTCCTTACATCCCCTTCTAGTGATTGTGAGCAACAGATCCAATGAACTAGTATATTCTGTGATCCCTGTGACAGGTTCTTATGTCGTATGCTAGTATTGGAGGGGCTAAATTAAATTCGAAATACAGCTTAGTTTCAAGCTTTCGGTACACCATATTCTTGAATCTATAGCTAGTTATGTATTTTTAATTTCTATTGCATGTAAATATAATTGTTTTAAGGCCTTAATAACTCACTGACTATATATCACCTTATCATTACGTAAAATGCGTGCAGGCACAATCTTTCTGTTTCTTTCTCCATATATCCCGGCAAAACGAGTGAAGTTTCCAAGTTATTTATATGTACAATACCTAGAAATCAGATTTATAGTTCACATTTAAAACCACAACATACAATTCAAGATCAATAAGAGTTACAGGATAAAAAACTGATTCATCTGTTGGAAAAATAATTAGTTGCAGCGGTGATCAGAACAATATAATGCAGAAATATAAAACTTATCGATCGAGTCTCGTGACAGCACGATGTCCTAAAGTGAAATTGCCCGTCAATAATTGCTGTGACCTCCGTGGACAATCACTCCCAGGATACAACGATCGTAAACCACTTATGCAGCAATCACGAATGATTTTTCTAGAACTCTCAATTGTACTCCAGAATAGGTATAAAAACCCGAATATAAGAAATTCACAATATGAAAAGAGTGATTGATTCTATTTTATTTTTGTGTGTCTTTTCCCAAAGCAAGATATGGGTTTATATAGGCAAGATGGTAGTAACAGTCTTCACCATGTTAATGCAGAATTTTAATGACTGAGTAGTGGGTGTTTTAATGACAGTTAGTGGGTTGTTACAAAAACAAACAGTCATAAAATACTGGCTAGTTTTACCCATTAAATAATGAAGAAAAAAAATATATTTATTTTAGTCAAGGAAGCCCAAGAGCCTAAGGCCCCAAGGCCCAAATCAAGACATTTTAATATTTGCGTGGGGAGTGATTCGAACCCCTGACGTCCCACACAAATGTCACATTTCTCACCACTTTGGCACTTTATCTAATTAGATTATTTCTTTCACATTTTATATTTATACCATAAATATATAACATCATCCACATTTAATTCTCCTTTCATTTTCCTCATTCAACTAGTAATTAAAAGTTAGAAAAAAAATCATTTGCCAAAAAGTATAACAAAAGTGCAAATCTTTTATCATGACAAAGAAAATTATTTAACTGTTAAGCCCCTCATATATCATGTGCCAAGTACCTATTGTTGTACCTTACAACGAGAAAATAGAGTCTCAGATTCCTAAACCTTATGCTTTCGTAGCACACCTTTCTCTCGCCTTAATCCTTTTACAGTCATTTTCCTTTCTTCTCTCTATTATTATCAATTAAAGAATTACCAAAAAATAAATACTTGTACCTAAGCATGAACAGATTTACATTTATTGGCAGGAAAAAGAAATCACAAACTTGGTCAGCCGTGTCAACTTACAAAATAATTGAAAATTCATGGGGGCAGAAATAAATAAATTCACAACCTTTTTCCACCAAAAAACTAGTGCAGCATCACAGTGTTGTGCACTACTCACTAAAACTCGCACCAAGCTCAAATATTAAGATTTCTAGCTTTTTTCCTTTTTTCTCTCCTTCTTGAATAATTTTACAAACAAATAACATTGGGTGGGTACCTATAAATTATAACTTTCTCGATAGAAAAATAAAAATAGTTCTTGATAGAAAAAATTTTCTCAAAAAAAAAAAAAAAAAAGTTTTTGAAAAAAAAAAAAAAAAAAACAAAAAAAAAAAAAAAAAAAAAAAAAGAAAAGAAAAAAAGAAATCTGAAATGGCAGCATCCAAGGCAAGTGCAACATGATTAATCAACCATCCACGCTTATCCTTCATTACAATTGAAGAAGACAAAGGGAATTTCACTGTATTAGCATCAGAATATTTATCAGAACCGCCATGTAAAGTCACCCTATTGTTATCATATGCTGATTGGTGAAATGAAGAATCAGAAGAATAGTGTTGAAACTAAGGGCAACCCATGTAAGAAAAAGGAAAAAAAGAGAGTAGAAATGGAATTGCATGCGGTTTTTTGAGGAAGATTTTCAGTGAATTTAACAGGGTTGCTGCAGTTTGTGGAGTTTGCGACTGGAGAATAGGGCTAAGAGACATTTGGGAAGAGAGAAAGGAGACTGAAGAGAGACGGGTTGGAATGAAGTTTGTCTTTCACGTTTCCCGTGTTTTAAAAAAAAAATTGGGTTTTGTATACAAAACGTCCAAATTGACGTTTTGCGTTTTCTTCACTTTTTTTTTTTTTTTCGAAAATTTGATTTTCATTAAGGATAAAGAGAACGCGTTTTCATTGCTTTGAAAAATCGAAAACAGAAAACAACTTGAAAACAACAAAGAGAACCGGCCTAAGTTTCAAGAAAAAAATTCAAGCCAAAAAAGTATTTTCAAGAAAGAAAGCAAGTCTAATGAAACAAAATGCTTTATTTGCGATTTCTATGTTACGACAAACAAAGAAATATTAAAAATTCAGCATAACATAGAGAAGAATATTCCAAGTTCAATAATTCTACTTCAACAAAGTTGAGTTACAAAAGTGGCTTTACAAAGTGTGTTGGCGGAATCTATGCCACTGATTTCAAATGATTTAAAAATCTATATTTGAAATGATTGGTGTAGATCTAATTTTGTCATCCAGTTTTGTCAAACTCATTTGTCATTGTAGCATAACTCAAATAAGTTTGGCATTGGAGCAGTGAAGTTGAACCTACTCCTGCACGGCCCTTTTAGCTTTTTTGTCAACTTTATACTAAGAACAATTCCCCTTGCACAAGGGATTGGTTTACATAAGTTTTACAGGGGAATGGTTAAGTTAGTCCATTTTTTATTTTTATTTACTATCTTTCAATTCAAAATTGCCAAGTGCATTGTTTGTAAAAAATCTGTGAAGCTCCTAATCCCCTGTACACCTAGCATCTCTCTTACTAAATTTGTGGTTTCGGTGCAATGTAACACCGGACAAGATACAATATTTATATTAATTTTCTTTCAAACTCATCATTATATGTCCAAGTTCCTTTTATTTTGGTAATTCAAGAAAAAAATAAATGTAAAAAGTTAACCGGGCTTCTCAAATTCACTTTGATTTCAACTTGATTAAAGTTCATTCCATATTTATATTACTTGAAAATGTAAATCGAACTCAGGTTTAAAACCCTTTCACAAAAGTTAAAATAAAATACAATTCAATTTAGTTAGCAAAATATTCAAAAGATCTCATTACAGTTTACAACCTTATTAATAAAATTCATTCAAAACATCAAATTTCCATTGCCGGGAATCGAACCCGGGTCTCCTGGGTGAAAGCCAGATATCCTAACCGCTGGACGACAATGGATGTGTTGGTCACCAAACTCTCTTTGATTAATTAATAAATAGAAAAAAAAGGCGGATTATCAATCTTAAAATTATTAACTTTTTCACCCAATCGCTGTTACATCTATTTACACAAGCTTATGTTGCAACTCTAAATTTGTATCACCGATGTTCCAGCGACGGGAGATTTAAAAGTGTCACCAATTCATACTTTATGTTTTATTCTCAATTTCTAGATTAGTCAAACCCTGAAATCTTGATGAATGTTGCTGATGGCATCTTGAATCAATTTAAGCCCCTGTTTGATTAACATTAAATTAAATTACATTACATTCCATTTTTCTCTCTCCTATTTTCAACCATACAATCTTCTATAAAATAATATTACACGTAAATCGAAAACTTTACCTTCTTTTTCAACCATTCATTTTTCTAAAAAATACTATTCCCCCCATTACCATTTTCAGGTAATGGGGGCCAAACAGGGTGTAAATATGTTCTGTCAAGTAAGACGATATAGTACTTCACAATTAATTTAATATGAACTGATTGTGAGATGTCTTATTTCTCTCAGATTTTTCATGCCCTCCTTAGGAGGGTATGACCTCTTTTATAGGTGAGGCTCCCTCTCTAAACCTATAAAGAATTTTTAGAGAACAAGATAAAAAAACGCTACTGGTACATATATATTTACAGGTGCCGAGATGGTATGATTTAATTGGCTGATTTAACTTTATTTTATGTCCAAAATTCAATGAAATCTTGTCGGTTGACATTCTAGAAATTAGTCTTTAATAAAGCATGTATATGTAGCATTCTTTGAACAAGATTGCTTTGATCGGTGGAGGAAGGCGATGTCAAGGCACAACAATGACGTACGACTAATCTCCAAACCTAGGCTTTCTTGTCAATGACTATTATTGACCTATGAGGGCAGTGTTGACACATGTACGGGGACAAGCCGCGGTCGAGGTTATCTCCCTCTTCTAGTTCGAAGTGTTTTTTACCGAAGCTTATTGAGACTATTTAATTCTTATATTCTGTTTGCGAGATCGAAGTAATCACTTCGCCCCATGAAGCATGTCTTTCGCCACATGTCCTCTAATGTGTATTGTAACTCTTCTGGTTATAAAACAAACGTTAAGATGTTTACTTTTCTAAAACTAGGCTGTTAACATTCTTGCTTGTTTGGCCATCACAGAAGTAGCTAAAATTATAATGCGACAAGTGAATAAATGAATATTGACAAAAATAAATTGTGACTGAGTGAACGGTAGTTGTGAATTTTATGAATTGTGTTAGTTAAAATTAAAGTTTAAATTTGATCTTGTTATTATACGGAGATTATAGCGAAAGGCAACAATCAAAATGATAGTAGTCTAGCAACCCTATCTTAATAAAAGGGAATCTATATGTACTGTACAGTGCTCATGGCTCCTCAATAGTCCTTTTCCTTTGTGCTTTGTATCTATCATACAAAAGCAAACGATAGCCATTCAACCTAGCAGCATTGTCTCATGAGTCTGAAGTCGATGAGGTGAGGTATAACGACTATCTTATTTAGCTTCTTACTTCATAAACAATGTCCAACATCGGCCTACCATCCAGAGTTGCTCGTAAGATTTCCAAATCACAATGAGATTACTCCTCTTTCATTTATCTAACGTTGAGGTACCCTTCGTACCCATGTTGGCTTGCAGCGTACCCTGTCAAACGGGAGACTAATCAAGGCTTACCAATCATTGAGCAAATGGATCAAAATCTTGGCAGGTCAAGGAAGACAGCAATGTACAGATTGCACTGAAAGATTGGTTTAACACAGGCTTAGTTAATAATCTGTTGATGAAGCCCACAACGTCGACAATGATCCTACATTACTGCTGGTTAAGATACAACAAATCAGAGAGGGTCCTGAACATTACAGATGCATACGAGCATGCCAATATATAGGAGTGAGTATAATGAAAATGAACAAAATGATAAAATATCAAAATATTCAAAAATGGGAGAGTATGTTATAGCGATAATCAAGAGGACTTGGAAAGTATCAAACACAAAATAAAGCAGAGATCACACTCTAATGATGCTGGCAGAGCACTTATGCTCTATGGTTCAGCATGGTTTTTCTGTCATAAAGCCAAGTATATCGAATAGAATTCACCGCAAAACATTTATCCAGAATTAAATACCAAATCCAGAAAACAACTGTCCATCCACATCGTAATTTAAAAAAAAAAAAAAAATTCAGGTAGCCATTTCTGTACCAATATAATGTCAGCTCTGTTTTCATCTGACTTCATTTCCAGTCTTTCTAAGTCTAAGAGTTACATAAGCTTATTTTCTCTCTCCCCACCAGATGCGTCCTGAAAATCAGGCACAGGTTAGTCAAGAAAAATACTATCAAATAGGAGATTTTCTCACATCGTTGGCATTATTTTTCAAATTCAAGGCAAACTAGACCAACCTTGATAGTATGTGCAAAACTTTCTTGGCAGAGTAACTTTTTATATGTTCATTAAACGAACGTCTTCTACAGTATCATCCATTAGCCAACTGTGACATTGTAGTTGTATCAGCAGATGTATATTTACATGGAGACATCTCAATCTAACCATCCACAGTGCCATTTGCATCAATTGTAGTATCTTCCAGTGAGACATCCTGGAAGGAGGTTGCAAGAACATTTTCTGGTGAAGCACCAAGAGGGTGTGAACCAGAATTAGTATTGGACCAACCAGCATTGTGTAACCATTTCTTCCACTCATTACGCTTCCTCAACTTGTCGCCCTGCAAGTCAACACAAAGACCACTGAGATAAAAATATTATGCCATGGCTTCTTTCAATTTTCCATAATCAGCAGATACTGACAGGAGATGAATTTTAACCTTCTGAGGACTGGCATTTTTCTTATCCAACATGACACATTTCTAATAGAACACTTGTACACATGGACTCACACGTGACAGAAAATTATATTTATAGCCCCCGTTTGGTCCCCATTTTATGAAAATGAAAAGGAGTGGAATAGTATTTTTTTGAAAAATGAGTGGTTGAAAAGGAAAGGAAATTTTTCGATTTACGTGTAATATTATTTTATGGAAGATTGTGTGGTTGAAAATATGAGAGAAAAATAAAATGGAATGAAATGAAAATTAATGGGGGCAAAACATGGGCATAATTGAAAGATCAAAGAAGATTAATCAACCTAATATTTGAGAAAATTGAAGCTCAGAAACCATATCATAGAATGCTACCTGTACTTCCACAACGCTTGAATTTCTCAAAGAATCCAAAATGAATGGGACATCAAATGTCAATTGCTGAACCTGAAAAGAAGACCACTAGACAACTTTGATCTGTGCATTGGAGAACACTTAACAAATATGAAAAACTGCATATAAATGAAACTCGTAAATCAACCAAAAGCAATTTAGCAGACGGGCACATCTATAAAATATGCTTTTTCTTAAATGCAACAAAAGAGTTTAGAGAGTTCGTCATCTTTTAAATCCTCGTGCAGGAAGGGATTTTCTAATTCCAATCATGGTCACTTAGGTTATAAAATGCCCCGGGGAATTCAAGATGATATCACAATTGATATCTTAAGATCATCGATAAGTGTGAGCTTGCAATGGAAATACAAAATAGGAATAAGAACTTTGGACATCAATTCCAGCAAAAAAGGAGGAAAAGAAATTCTATACCATCCAGAGATGTTTGACAAAAAATTCAACGTTCAAAAGTTATCTGCCTGATACATTTGCATTCATATAAAACCAAGAATAAAGCAGGAAAAATAAATGCCACCAAAAATCGTGAATCATGAAGATGTAAAAAATACTAAAATATCCTTGTGGAAGCTCAATAACACAACTTAAGACAGTAGTGCTTCTATATAATTACAGACTCTTGCACTTAATAGAACTTCTGCACATTATATATGCTCCGGGAAATAAAGAAACAATTATATTGTGAAATGAATCCCAGGGTTTCATTGTGAAATAGAATTACTCACAAGGTCATACCGATATGGAAATTATTTCTCAAAGTTAGAAATAAAGATCAATTACTTATAAAGGAGTACCAATGTACCATTAAGCACCAAATAAATTGATCTCATCTTATGTAAAACCAGGATAAAATCTTATGACCTTTTTACAATTAAAAGCTAGACTAAGTGTATAAGCATTAATTATTATTAGAAGGCTTCTAATATGGGCCAGCTTTGTAGCAATATGGTTCAAACTATTCGCATAAAACAGATATTAGATAACATGAATCCTTCACACTTACTCGTGGAAAGCTGGCAATTAAAGTTATGGGCACCCATCCTTGATCATCCATGTTGGACCTCAAAAAATTATCTTTCACCAAATTTTCATCACTGGAACAAAGTAGGGGACTGCTTTAGCAACTAATAATAAAGCAACAATAAAACATAGTTCTTTCAAATGAGTTCCAAATTATATTTACCTGAAGTAATAATCTATTTGTTTCACAATCAAACTGGGCAAAGAACCACTAGTGGCAAAAAGCATAGGTGGCGGTGGAGGCATTATCGGCATAGGCCTGAAAGACTCTGGGAGCAGTGTTGGAACATAGATGAAGGGAGACGACATATCTGTAAGATACAAATATATTAGTAACAAAACTAGTCCAGATCGTCTAACTAACATAGGACACCATGCAGTAGACTTACCAAACCCCATTTGGCCAGGAAAAACCCTTCCGGCTGGTGGAGTAGAAATGAACGGTGGAGCCCCAGGGGGAAACGGAGTAGGCATATACCCCACGGGAGGAACGTATTGATGGGAAAGATGAACATCTCTGCGATCTTGATCCCGCCTGACTCCGTGATTACTATGATATGGTCCATCTCCACGAGGGCGGGGCCCATAGTTACCCCTTCTTGAATTATTCCTAGGAGAAGAATCATTGCCGTTGTGTGGCTGGGAACCCCCAACTCCTCCCCCTGGTCTTGTTCCTCTTACGGGAGTGTCCAGCATATGTGGTACCATAGCATAAGGCATGTTAAACACAGGAAACGGAGGTGGCTGAGGGGGAGAAGGCCGAATAAAGACACTAGAAGAAGGCCCATTTCCAGAGGAGCTGCCTCCACCAGCACCTCTGCCACGATGCCTAGACCTTTGTTTAGTAGGCATATTGTTCACAGTAGAATTAACATGAGCATTTGTATTAGTTTGTCTCTGAGGCGGTTGAGATATTATAGGTCCCTATCAAAAGAAAAGAAATATCAGCAAAGACATCATGGGAATGCCTCCACAGAAAAACTAATTAATAAGGCCTTTCAATCAGTACAAACACTGTCAATATCAGAGAATTAAATCTCTGTTAATCTTTATATAGACCCCAGTTGAAAGATAAAAGAAGCTAGAAAATAAACAATGATCCATTAGTATATGGAAAAATAATTGATCTTTTTCGTATCTTTAACAACTGGCATGAATTGGCAGAACTAGAGAATTACACTTTTTAATTATTTTATTATTATCATTTTCTGAGGTCAAATAAATTGTATGTTAACCTCCTTCGACCAAATTCTCGGGGACATTCAACAATCATAAATATGAAGCAAGAAACCCAAATCATACATTCACATTTACAGCAAAACTTAAACTCTACATACTAAATTAACATTCACATCAGCGCAGACACATACAAAAGAGACGTAGCACAAAATTATTCAACAGAATGAAGCACTAAAAACATTATTGAAATCCATAAGCAGAAGCATAAAAACTAAACACAGACATTTTTTTTCACTGAATAATGTAATTTTACCTGAGAAGAGGAGGCTGATCCATTGGGAATAGGTCTGAATGGTTCTGATGATGATCTAGGGACGGCCCGGATTGATTCAGAGAGAGCGGGCCAAGAAACAGCATCAACCATAACAGAATTAGGCTCAACGACGCCGTTAACAGTTGTATTCCAAGCATGTCTCCTCGGACGGCCTGCATTGCCGTCACCGTTAACATTCGAGCTCTCAGGCTGGGCCTCAGGGCTAGAACTCTCCATCGGATCCTTTTCAAAAGCAAAAGACTGCTCTGGCACAGCCAAAACAATCGGCGGCGGAGACGCTGGATTTCCACGAAAGACAGAGGTCCACGGCGTGGCGACACCATGCCGCCTAGGACTGGTAACGCCACCATCCACCGCGGCGGCAATGGAGGTACAGGTTACAGGTGAACGCGGTAGGTGATCACTGGTTGGTGAATCGGCGGTCATGACCGGGCTCCAGAAAAAAAATTTACACACGATAAAAAAGAATCAATATAGATTTAGGGTTTGCGTTGGACAGTAGAGAGTGTGATCAACTTCTCTCTCTTTCTCCGTAGGAGTATAATATATTTTTTAATATTATTTATTTATTTTTATTTTTTTCAGAGTTGCGACTGTTCAGAATTTACCAAGGAATTATGCTTGGACAATATATATATATATATATATATATATTAAAAGTTATTATTATTTATTTATTATCACACTTATATTTTTAATTAATTTTTATTTCATCACATTCTAATTTTTAACAATTCATTAATAAAATACTTCATTCTTAATTATGGTTTTTGTTCAAAAAATTATTAATGTGCTTTAAAATTTGGATAATATATCTATTTGCATTTTACTGTATGATTATTTGCTTTGAAAAATACAATAAGCAAATGAAATTTTTTACTTTATCTTTAAAAGAATCTTAGAAAGAAATCGTAATCGGGAACAATTTATATTAATTTGAGAACAAGAATGCGACGAAAAATTTTTATTTATTCAAAAATTGTAATCCCTTCTACAGTTTTATACAGTCCAAACGAGTAACTAAACAGCCATTTAGTTAATTTTAGTAATCGTATATTGTCAATAGAAATATCATTTTTTGAAATTTCATCCAAAAAAATATAATCTCAAAATAGAAATTAACTTTTTAAACATAAAATACAATTTTATCAATGTGATCCATATTGTATTTATTTTTAGAATACGTCTATATTATTTTGCATTAAGTTCATGCATAGCACACAAAACCATAGCCGTTTTCGTAAAGTGCATTTGACTAAAAAATTGTGTTCACATTTGTCCACAATTATATATTTTTTCGTTCATCCTACTATTAAAACTCTGAGGTCTGTGAACATATTTTTTCTAAGAGTAATGTTATTCATAGTGAACACTGTCAGTAATCGCCTTATGTGACGTCTGTCAAGTGTACGCCACATAGGGCACTGCGAATAGCATTATTTTTTTTTCTAAATAATTTAACTCTATTTTTATGAGATCCTGTCTAATGGAGTAAAAAATAATGTAATTGAAAATATTCTTCTAAGTCGATCATATAGAAAGTGATATATTTTGTCTATATTTAAATAGAAAGTTAATGTTCTGACAATGCAAGATGGGTGTTTGATAGTTCAAGGAAATTAGAAGTTAAATAATTTCATGAAAAAATATTGACAATAGTTACACAATTAAAAAAATAAAAATCAATAATGTTACATAATTTTTGCTACTTAGGGCTTGTTTGGGATTGATTATGAGAATTGATTTTTTGACCGTTAGCTTGAAACGTGAGTCCCATCCATAGTGAAGAGATCAAAAATAACAAATGACTAGGGTCAGTAATAGTCAATAAATTTATTTTTAGGCTTGAAATATCAGAAACAAACAAGGGCAAATATAACTTAATGGTTGATTGCTATAAAGATGTGTTTTATTATTATTATTATTTTTTATTTTTTACTATGCCTTGTGATTCATTAGACTATGATAGTCAAATTGTGTTGATTAGAGTTTTTAGTCTCAAATGTATATTAAAAGATCTAGACATATTTTGTTGGAGAGTAATGCTATTTAATTCCATTAGGATTATAACCCCAATTTAGGCGGCATTAATGAGACATTAAGAGTGTATTTAATTGATATAGAAAATATTACCTAGAAAAGAATTTATTTATTTTTTTGAGAAAAACTAAAAATTACTTCCTCAAAGAAAATATTTTCCTTAAAAAAAGGAAAATTAAGAATATTTTCAAAAGTTGAAAAATATTTTCAATGGAAAAAAATATCAATCAAACACTTAAAGTAAGAATTTGAGTGAAAATTTGATATTTTTCATGGAAAATAAATGCAATCAGGCACATCTTGAATGATAGGTGAAATTAAATAAATTATTTGATTTCACATTTCATTCAGTTTATTATTAAGCGCCACTTAGATTAAGATTGTAATTGCAGTGGAACTACATATCATTATTCTTTGTTGAAACGTGATATAAACTCAATTAATAATGTCATTGTAATTTGGTCAAATATTAATTAATTAATTGACTAAATGTTGTTTCATAAGAGATTATTGATAAATAAATTTTATACACTTGTTATGACTGTTCATATTGTGCTTATATAGCTTGAGATTGTATTGATTTTGGTGTATTGTAGGAATCTAATGGTTGGATGGTGAGATTACAAGTTTAGGTGGGGGCTAAGTTTTATATATTTCACTTGGGAGGATCAAAGAAAACACGAGGGTAGAGGTAACGAAAGGGGATGGAACAAAGTGTGGTAGACTGCGGTTTTGAGAGAAAAAGCAATTTCAAACAAATCAAATTGAAGGTTTTAATTATTTGTATGCAAATTATTAATCAAACATGTTTGATTAATTTAGTTTTCAATCCAAAATATTATATTTGTCCATTTTTATTGATAGGTAGATTAGAGAGAGTGGATAGATGAGAGAGAGAAATAAAGAGTGAATTACCTGAAAAATAAAAATAACTTCTCTTTAAAGAAAATGTTAACATTGTTTTTTAGGAAAATATGATCACATGATCAAAAGTTGGAAAATATTTTTCATGGATAAAATTGTCAATCAAACACCCAAAAAGTAATAATTTGGGTAGAAAAATAACATTTTTATGAAAAATAAAGTCAATAAAACACACTCAATGTAAAAAAAATCATAATTTTAAATAGGAAATAGAGATGTTTCCATATTTTGTGTTGTTTTTTATTTGAATATCTTTATTGAATGTGTTGAAATTCACATGGGTATTTAGTGGATTTACTTGTTAAGGTTTCTTTGATTTTATTCGAGAAAAATTGTCAAATAGTTTGGAGAATTCAATCGTCAACACGGATGAAATAAATTGTTATGGCTTGGTAGGCGAAATTAAACACGATAACTACATTGAAAATATGAGTCTTAACGCTTTTAAAATTATCAAATTTTTCTCAATTTTTCCATTGTCGATCACTTGGGTAAATTTTTTTGTTTAAAAATTAGTTTAGCAGCTACAACCATTCTCCATTAGAATTTTGCACGAGATTATATAATTAGTAGGATTAATTGGGTTAATATATAGTGATACTGTCTACCTTTGAAAATGGTCAACATGTGTCATTGAAGGACAATCTGCACGTGGGCGTGTTTCGTAGTGTGTCAACTGTAAAATAGATATTGTTGTGGGAGAATATGAATAGTAGGCAATGGAAGTATTGTATTTTCCTCTTTGTATTTTATTCAAGATCTTTCAATTGATACAAACACTGTCTATTTATGTGACTAGGCCGACATGGACACTGTTGGATTGGATTCACGTGGCTTGATCTGCCAACTCTCATCAACTATATTACATATAAATTATATTGATAGACTTTTAACAAGATGTCAGTCACTCTACAAACTAGGCTGACATTCCTGACACTCATTAACTGCGCACTTCACATCAGTCAACTCTGAAGACGTGCTTGTCCGACTCTCTTCCAGTTGTGAAGGACTTCGGATAGTAGAGGGTGAATCGCTTCGACAGAACTTAGCGCAACGACCTCGGCACTTCATTTGATAGTTTCGGACGTTAGCCCCTTCTGTACCAATTCTTGGGTGCTTGCCATGTGTATGAATGTGAGATCTCCACGTGGACCTTTTTGTATTGATTAGTAACAATGTACACTTGCAATTTCATTCGAATAGTTTTTAAGTATCATTGCAGGTGATTGTAAATATTGTTATTGATTTGATTTGATTTGATTTTTTGAGTGGAGAAAACAGGTACTTTGAACCATTAACCTTGGTTTATGTAAACAACAATCCTTAACCAGGGATGAATTGAAGCAAGGAATGTTTTTGGTTGTCCATTTTTCCTATATTGGCATCTATTTCGACACGCATCATTAGCCTCTGCCGTACTTTTCTTTGGGGTGGAAAGAAACCATTAGTATTTTGGAAAGATGTGTGCCTTTCGAAAAACAAAGGGAGTCTTGGTTTCTGAGACATCAAGAGTTGGAATTCAGCATTGTTATCTAAATCCCTATGGAACATACACAGCAAAAAAGACATGCTATGGGTCCGATGGATAAATCATATTTACCTCCGTGGGGTGAGTATTTGGGAGGTTGTTCCGAGAAAAGATGACTCTCCATTGATCAAAAAATTGCTCCAAATCAGGGATGAATTGAAGCAACCTAGGGAGGGTGACCAGTCACTTGAGGCTGGCACTAACGTACAGACAGCAATGGACAGATTGAGGGGATGGAAATCTGGGGAAAATTTCAATACATCCTTGGCCTATGAATTCTTCCGACCGCGAGGGATAGTTAAAACCTGGAGCAAGGACGTATGGGCTCCTTACATTACACCCAAACATTCCTTTATGCTTTGGTTATCTACCCTTTCCAGATTGCTCACTAAGGATAAACTGCACTACTTGAAGATAGACCAAAATTGTAATCTTTGTGGACTGGCTGCCAAGACAAACCAATACTTGTTTTTTGGATGTCCATTCACTTCCAATGTGTGGGGACTTATTCGACAGTGGCTATGCATCACGATATCTATGTCTACATTTTGAAATGGATCAAAAAGAGGGTCGTGGGACTTCTTGTCAAAGTAAAGTCAAACGGATTGCCCTGGCTAGCACAGTTTACCACATATGGATGGCACGAAACAAAAAGGTATTTGAGAATCTTCAACCATTAGTTGATAGTGTTGTAAGACGAATTAAAACATACGTGTACAAGGTCATGTTCTCCTTGTACCCGTATGTTTTAGTTCATTTTGGATCTTTAGCCATGGGTTTATAGATTATCTCGATTGTGTTTCATTTGATCTTTACTTTTTCCGGGGAATGCCGGGTATAACTGTATTTTACTTGAGTTTTGTAATGCTCGGGTTTGCCCGTAGTATCTGTACATGAATATTTGAGCAATATAATTTACATTTACTGATCAAAAAAATATAAATTGCCATTTAATTTAGAATTAAGTTAAGTTGACCAAAAATTGTTGATAGAAGCCTTGACATCTTCTCACATGCGTGTGAGACCCGCAT